GAGGGAAGTTTCCTGCCCGCCTGGGTGAGCGGCGTGCCCCGCGAGCGGCTCCGCGACTTCCAGCACCACAAGCGCGTGGGCAACTACCTCATCGGCAGCAGGAAGCTGGGCGAGGGCTCCTTCGCCAAGGTGCGCGAGGGGCTGCACGTGCTGACCGGAGAGAAGGTGAGCCGCCCTGGGCCCGAGGGTCTGGGGACCGGGGGTGGGGGAGGGGACAGTGGGCAGCCGGGGACCCTGCCCAGAGCGCTGCGCGGGGACTCCGTGCGCCGCCCCCATCCCATGCGCCCGCCGCCTTCGCTTTTCTATAGGCTCGAAAGAAGGGTCAAGCGAAATGCGCGCTCAGATCCTTGTGGCTGGGCCTCCCGGCCCCTCCGGAGGGGCGATCAGGGATCAGCTCCCCGAGGGGAGCTGTCGATTGACCCGAGAAGCCGCCCAGCGAAACCTTCTTGCTCCTCCAAGGGCGCCGCCTGGCGGACGCCGGGGCCGGGGCTGGGGGTGGGGGCTGTGCGCGCCTGGCCCTAGGGGTCCTGCATCCTTGCAGAGGCAAGCGGGAGGGCTGCATGGCTGGGCTCTAATGCTGGGGGGCGGGAGGGGGGAAGAGGTGACGCTTGCAGGCAGACCCCTCGCCAGGACCTAGGGGGAAGAGGTGGAAGACAGCCTGGACTTAGGGGCGAGGGGAGAGGGGGGAGAAAGCGCTTCTTTGGCTTGCAGCAGGGGAAGTTCTTGGAGTGTAGAGGAGGGTTTTCACAAGTCCTCTCACATACCCCATCCTCACGCTTTCTTCTCTCACGCGACATCTACACACAGCAGCATCCCTCCATTCCTAATCATTCTCAGTCTTCCCTCCAATCTCCGGCCACCCCCTTTCTCCTCCATTTCCCCAACCTTCCCCAACCCTTGGATCAGGGCTGCAAGAAATGGCAGTACTTCTGGCAAGGAGACTCCCATATTCCAGAGACTGGGAGATGACCACCAAAGCCCAGACCTGGAGGGACAACCCAGCTCCAGCCTCCTTAGAAGTGAGAGGATTATGAACCTTTGCCAGGGTGTTGCAGGTCAATTGAAGGTGTGTGTAGCTTGGCTCTGTGAGAGGAAACTCAAGATAAAATGACTTACTTTGAGGTGAGCACTCAGGTGCGGGGTCACCCCCTAGGCTCTGGATCATACCCTAGGTTCTGAGTCACCCCCAGGCTGGCTGATACCCCAAGCTTGTGGCTCACCTTAGAATCAAGGCTCCTCTATGAACGCAGTTGCTCTACTCTGGTGCGGGAGTAGCACCTGTGTCAGCAGCCAGAGAACCAAGCTTCCACCCCTGGGAACCTGGGCACCCCAGGCTGGGAGGATGGGACCTCTGGGTGCAGGGCTGAGCTGCCCAACCTGCCTGCCTGTCCCCAGCCTCATTCTACCTACTTCCTTCCCTCCCTAGCCTTTCCGCTTTGTCCTGGAGTCCCATGCATCTGAGAGCAAGCCTCAGGTGCCTTTTCATCTGTTCTCTATTCCCACAGCTGCTGCCACACGGGTCTGCAGGGTTAGAAGAGTTGTTTCAAAAGTGCCTCTCACCTAAATTTTCATGTAGAAAGGGAGTGTTCTGCAAGAACTCACTGGATTGAGCAACTCTTCCAAGCAGGGGGGTGGGTGGGAATACAACCAAACCAAACCAAAACAAAACAAAAAAACCCCTCCAAACCTCATTCTGCTCTACAGGGAACAGGTCATACCTTTTGTTTGTAGTGGGCTTGCTGATGAACAAGTCTTGATTCTATCCAGGGCGTCCAGATGCTTCGGGGCCAGTGTGCTAGCTAATTCCAATGAGCTCACTTGTTGTGTTCCTGTGTAAATTCTGTTGGCCCCGGTGGTAGGAGTTTGTTTTCATTTGAAAGGTGTAGGACCTAGACGAGTTGTGTGTATTTCCTCTCTAAACTTAGCAGAAAGAGATGAGGCTTTCTTCTGACAGCATAATGGCAAACATTTCCAGTGAATTCATCGAGCCTGCCAGGCTGCTCCGCTTCTCCTGGCACCGCTCCACTTTCTCTGTGTCTTGGGCCTCCGGCTTCTCACCAGTGCATTTTTGCTACATAACATAAGGCCGTTGACCTTGACTGAACTGCCCAGGGATGTTCTCAGAGCTCAGCCCCTACCCTTCTGTGAGGGATTCTGGACATGCATGCTAGGTGGGGAGTCCCTGGGTGGTGCAAATAGTTAAAAAGCATTCTCTAAGGAAGGTTGGTGGTTCCAGTGTGCCCAGAGGCACCCCAGTTGGGGTGGGAGAGTGGAATTCTGATGGTGTCCTGAGAAATCAGCCACTGAAAACCGTATGGAACATAGTTCCGCCCTGATGCACATGAGGTCTCCGTGAATGGGAATGAACTTGATGGCACTTGATCTGGTTTGATTTGGCACTGAGCCCACCGGGCACAATGGAATGCAGGTTTATTCATCCAGATGGGGGCCAGAGGAGGACCCAGTACCCCTGTGTGTATAGATCCCTTTCCTTCTCATCTTGTCTTTGTTAACAACTGACATCAATAATCGGGAAAAGGTATTAACTGGATGTGCAATTCCTTCTCTGAACCAGTTGATAGGAGCTAGTTATTAAGGCTGGTGGTTCCAATTAAGGCTGGTTGGTTTGATCTAGTTAAGGCTGGAGGAAGGTGGAGGAGAGGGATATTTACTTAGAAAGAGCCGCTTGGGTTTTGTGGTCTGGGTCTTTGGGTGGTGCCAATGGACCACATGTTCGGCTGCTAACAAAAGGTAGGTGGTTTGAGTCCACCCAGAGGCACTGTGGAAGAAAAGCCTGGGGACCTACTTCTGAGAATTCAGCCATTGGAACCTCAAGGAGCACAGCTCCATTTGGGTACACCTGGCGTCGCCACAAGTCAGAATCGACTCGATTATTCAAGGGCAACTGTTATGTTATCTAGTTTTTAAAAATGTGCTCCTCTGCAGCCAGGGGAATCTGTGAGAATCAGTCCTCTAGGAACTAAACAGCAGTATCGTGAGAATGGCTGGAGTTTAGCTCACTCAGTTAATGGCTCTAAAGAAACAATGGGTGTCATTCATAGCACTTATCCCCCGAATCCAACGGCTTTAATGCTTAACTAATAGATTTGGATTTTAGCAGGTTGTAGAGATTAAAATGTTTTCTGTGCATGCCTCTGCCTGGGAAGGAAGGATCTGCTAAGTTAATGAGTCCCGGACCCCGTCTCCACTCTTGGTTGCTATTGCCTTCCTGAGGCCAATACAAAGGTCAAGGCAATCCCAGGTTAATTGCAACCTTACATTCTTTTTAAAAGGTGAGCTATTCTGAGGGCCCGGAGGCCTGGGGAAGGGTCACCCCCAGGAGCACATTTATCCTGGTGCTAGGGGAGACCTTGTCAAGGAAAGGTCTGGAGGAGGGTGTGCGGTGTCCTCTGCAGCGGTGGAGGAGGGGGGATATAAATGACCCAGGAAGGCCTCTGGCCCCCTCTATCTCCTCCTGTCTTGAGATACCTACTTTTTTGGATAATCCCCAAACCAAACTAGTTGTCCTTAGGGATTCTGACTCATGGCACATTAAAAAACAACAGCAGCACTTAAAGACCCCCAAACCCACCACTATCGATGAGATTTGGTCCAATAGTGTCCTTCTACGGCTGTGGTCATCAGCCTTCCTAATGCTGTGACCCTTTAATACAGTTCCTCATGTTGTGGTGACACCCCCTACCATAAAATTATTTTTGTTACTACATAACTGTAATTTTGCTACTGTTATGAATCGTAATGTAAATATCTGGTATGCAGGATGTATTTTCATTGTTACAAATTGAACATAATTAAAGCATAGTGATGAATCACAAAAACAATATGTAATGATACAATGTGAAATATTTATTTCTAATGACAAATCAATGAAATTTTGTCTTGAAGCATGGTGTAGCGTGGGTAACAGGCTTAATATAACAACAGTAAACTACATTGCGACGTTTCACGACAGTATGGGTATAAAAAAGCCAACGTCTTGGTTCCTAAGACCATTGGAAATATGTGTTTTCCGATGGGCTTAGGCGACCCGACCCCTGTGAAAGGGTCATTCAACCCCCAAAGCGGTAGCGACCCCCTAGTCGAGAACTGCTGCTCTACAGGTTTCCTGTAACTCTTTACAGGAGCAGTCCACCTCATCTGTCTCCAGGCGCCGCTGTGCTTTGAACCACCAACCTTGTGGGTAGCAGCATAATGCCTAACCCTCAGCTCCTCCAGGGCTGCTTTTTCATGGCTGTGATTTCATGGCATGGAATAAGAAACTTTTCATGGCAAAGGGGTCTATTATGAAATTTGGGGGGAAGTTAGGAAAAAGGGGTTGGAGACAAAGCTTGGTTGTGAGGGCTTAGGTCTCTCCAGGTATAGAGCTGGTTTGGTAGGCAGGAGGCTGAGGCTTCTGCCACCTCAGGACCTTCTGGGATGAAGCCACTCTGGGATGCAGATGTGGGTGCATTAGATGATTGGTTAAGATGTTTGAAGATTTTTGAGAATGATGTACAAATGCGCTTAACACAATTGATGTGTGTATGGATTGCGATAACAGTTGTATGAGCCCCTAATAAAATGTTAAAAAAAAAAAGATGTTTGAAGATCTTGTTCTAACCCTGAGTTAAAAAACAAGCCTGCTTCTCACCTTTCATTGGAGCTATTTTGGGGCTAAAAATATGGGTTTCCTGCTTAGTAAGTTGCCAGTAATCATGCTTCTCTCACGACTGTGCCAGGTACCTGATGTGCAGGAGTTACTAAAAATACAATTTACTATGTTGTGCAGTGCAGGAAATATGACTAATTTTAAAAGTGGCCTTTTGGCAGATCTGTTTTTAGAAAGTATTTCTGAAACAAACAGGTGCTAAATCCTGTGTTTCCAAGTGCTAGAAACGCAGGGGTAATAGCTCTGAGGAGCAAGCCATGCTCGGAGAAAGGGAAATTCCTATTACTCCTCAGCAGGGGCTGCTTGGCAAGGAGGAGGCGTTTGGCAAAAGCAACCTGCACCGAACGTCATTGTGTGTCAAGGCAGCGCCTGTCATGTTCAAGATTACATGCCGCCGTGAGTGGCAGGCACGTTCGTTTGAACTTCCTGGCCTGCCTGGTCCTCTTGAAGTACTTGTGAATGATGAAAATTGGCACGTAGGACTTGCCTTGTGGTG